ATTTATTAAACTATATTTATTTCGCAAATTTGCGACACATTAACACATTGGCATATTGACATTATTGTCGTTGCATATATTTATGAACACTATTAATTATATTATTTATATTTGTTTGGCACTGGCAGCCCAATTATATATTACATTTGAAGCGCGCGCGGAGCTGATGCGTGTTTAATTTTTTTTTTTTTTTTTTTTTTTTTTTTTTTTTTTTCTTGGTTTCGGGTGCCCATTCGGATGGTTATCGCGGCATGTAACTCTTAGCTTGAGCTTTATCCGTCGGTTGCAGGAGAACAATCACGGGTTTAGTAACATGAGACCCACTTCTTCCCCAAAAGCCTGGTGTTAGGATCAGGTTTTGGAGTGCATCGGGTCAGCACGTGAGTATTTCAGGCAGCACTGGGAAGGCTAGAGGCCAGATCAGCCATACCGCCGCACTGATGCTTGGGCTTTTTTTTTTTTCTTGGTTTCGGGTGCCCATTCGGATGGTTATCGCGGCATGTAACTCTTAGCTTGAGCTTTATCCGTCGGTTGCAGGAGAACAATCACGGGTTTAGTAACATGAGACCCACTTCTTCCCCAAAAGCCTGGTGTTAGGATCAGGTTTTGGAGTGCATCGGGTCAGCACGTGAGTATTTCAGGCAGCACTGGGAAGGCTAGAGGCCAGATCAGCCATACCGCCGCACTGATGCTTGGGCAGCAGAGCAGTGTTTTAGTATGGCTTCCTTGGTCTAACTATTTTTATTTTAATGCTTATTTCAGGTAGGGTGGATTTTTGGGTGTCACTGGTTATTTTGATTGGGTTAGTGGCATAGGAATGTGGCTCTAGGCCTCTCATTATGATTTATTTCAGATAGGTTGAGATTAGGCAATGGCCAGCAATCACTGAGTGTTAATAGTTGCTAGTTTTGCAACAGATTGTGTTCAGAGTTGAACGTAAGTTTATTCAAAGTAAATATTTAATGTAGTCAGTTGTGTTTTTTTAGGCATCAATGTTATTTATTTCAGTAATTCAGTTTGCTTATTACAGTATTCATTTAGATTATTTCATTTTTCACTAGGACTTAGTCCTTTGTTTAATACGACCAACTTGCATATTTCAGCCTTTTAAGACCAAAGTACACAAGTGGTAATAATGTATTAGTGTAAGGGAAATAAGGCGGAAGGGTCCCGTAGGCCAGAGTTTCTCAAAGGAATTGTTAGTTAGTTTAAAAAATGCTATCCGCTAGTGTTCTATACCTCATATGGGCTAGGAGCAACAGCAGGTTACCATTTGGCAGCACAGGATTTATTTCAGATGGAAGGGTGACTCTAAAAGAGTTCTATTGTTTATACTGGGAATTTCTCAGTTAGGAGGTTTTTATATAGTTTTTTTTTTTCTTGGTTTCGGGTGCCCATTCGGATGGTTATCGCGGCATGTAACTCTTAGCTTGAGCTTTATCCGTCGGTTGCAGGAGAACAATCACGGGTTTAGTAACATGAGACCCACTTCTTCCCCAAAAGCCTGTTGTTAGGATCAGGTTTTGGAGTGCATCGGGTCAGCACGTGAGTATTTCAGGCAGCACTGGGAAGGCTAGAGGCCAGATCAGCCATACCGCCGCACTGATGCTTGGGCAGCAGAGCAGTGTTTTAGTATGGCTTCCTTGGTCTAACTATTTTTATTATTAGGCTTATTTCAGGTAGGGTGGATAAATTGGTGTCACTGGTTATTTGAATATGGGTTAGTGGCATAGGAAGGTGACTCTAGGCCTCTCAATCTGATTTATTTCAGGTAGGTATAGTATTGGCCAAAGGCCAGAAATCACTGTATTTTAGTGGCTGCTAGATTAGCAACTGACTGTGTTCAGAGTTAGTCATAAGAGTATTCAAAGTAATAGATTGATGTAATCAGTTGGATTTTTAGGCATCGATGGATGTTTATTTCAGAATTCAGATAGCTTATTTCAATATTCGTAGGATTTATTTCATTTATCACTAGGACTTAGTCCTTTGTTTAATACAACCAGCTTGCATGTTTCAGTCTTTTTAGACCAAAGTACACAAGTGGTTATGGTATATTAGTGTAAGGGAAATAAGGCAGAAAAGGAGCTATCTCTTTGAGAAACTATGTCCCGTAGGCCAGAGTTTATCAAAGGATTTGTTAGTTAGTATGAAAGTGCTATCTGCTAGTGTCCCATACCTCATATGGGCTAGGAGCAACAGCAAGTTAGCATTTGGCAGCACAGGATTTTTTTCAGGTGGAAGGGTGACTCTAAAAGAGTTCTATTGTTTATACTGAGAATTTCTCAGTTAGGGGGGTTTTTAACTAGGTTTATAGGAGTGGGGGAGGGGGGTGCAAAGGTTTATTTTGCATGCACGCAGGCATGTATGTTGCTTATTATCTATGAGAGTCATGATTGCCACAACATAAGCATATGTTGAGCTTAAGGCGATCATGGCACTATTAAGTACAATTTTAATTTTTACAAAAGATTTAAAAAAAAAAAAAACTACTCTTAGTTTTACTAGTTCTTAATGCTACTCTTAGAATTATTGAAGCAGCATTAGTGGGGAGGGATGGGCCTCCTGGCGCCCCAGTCCAGTCCGGACGACAGATCCAGTGCAGCGATACCCCACTCTACCGGCGAATCCCTCTCCTAACAGGAGTTGTTGGGGTTAGAGGACCTCCACCGGCCCGCCCCTTCTGGAAAGGCATGTTTGGGTTGCTCTGTGGTGGTGGCTTGGCAGGACCCAACAGTGCCACTTCTCGTCCACTGACGACCTCCTCTGTAGCAGTCCTCCGATCAGGGGTCATGACACTTCCTAGGAGCACAAATCCAGGAACAAATAGCGGCATTAGGTCCGATAGAGCAGTATTTGCCAAGTTTATTTAGATTATTTAACTCTGTGGGAGAAAGAATATTTAGTTCGGGTATTTATAAGTAATTAATATAGTTAGTATTTTGTATTATTTGCACCTGAAAGACTCAGCGCAATTGGATTTGTTATTTCAGTGTTAATGAGTACACCTTGGGGCAGGTGGATAAAATGAGGGTCTCTATTATTTTATTACTTTGAAATTTTAATAGTTGTAAGATGTTTATTCTTTTCAGATTCGGAATCTTGCTTCTACAGTGCAGTCCACCCAAGAGGCGACAGGATTAATTGAGAATGTTAAGTGTATTTACACGAGAGATTCGCACCAGGGCATCCATGTTCAGAGCGTGTGCTCATTGCATGGAAGCCTCAGTTTTAGTATAGCCAAGGGCTAATTTTCGTCATAGGCATGTTACCCCGACACGAATATATGCATTCAGAATCACTCCGCCGCGTCTTGAGAGGGCTACTAATAGAAAATATTTGACTGCAGAGAAAATTAAGCTTTTGTACTTTTGTTGCTATTAATTGTTAAAAAGGATAACTACATTCTATAATTTAGGTACAGTGTAACCTCAAAATCAAAATAATTGAGATTTGAAGTGCAATTGTTATTTTAGATTAATAAAGGGAGTCAGAGTGACTCCTGGAGAAGTTGCACAAAAGCAGATTTAATTGAATTGTTACTTTATAAGGCTAGTTAGGTTGTGAGTACTGAAAGAGGTATTTGGATACAGAGTAATCTTTTGTGCTTATTTAATATTGGTGTGTTTTAACTTTAATTTAATCATTTAGTTTCATATTTAGATGCCATAGAAAGTAATAGTGTAATTGTATAATTATAAGGTGTATTTTTGTTTGGATTAAATTATGGAATTTAAATTCCTGAAGGCATATTACAAAAATAGATTTAATTAAATTATTGTTTTATGAATTAATAAATTGTGTGTACTCATTACACATGACCGTGTCTTAATTAGTTTATTAGTGAAATAAAAGTAGTTATAATTATTTAGCATAAAAGAGTGAGTGGAATTTTGGAGGCATCCTTCTGGAGTAGTTTTCCGATTCAGACTTATGACGTTGTATTAGAGCATTCAGCTAGTAATAAGTAGCAGCATTAGGTCAGTTGGAGTCCATGAATACCATGTTTATTCCCATGAGTGAGCTCTGTGGGATGGGGGGAAAGAATAGTTAGTTTGGGTATTTATAAGTTGTTTTATATAGTTAGTATTTTATAATTTGCACCTGAAAGACACAGTGCAATCGGATTTTTTATTGCAGTGTTAATGAGTACACTTTGGGGCAGGTGGACCGAATGAGAGTCTCTATTGATTTATTAAATTGAAGATTTTGATGATTGTAAGATATTTATTCCTATTAAATTCAGGATCTTGCTGTTGTAGTGTAGTCCACCCAAGAGGCGACTGAATTGATTGAGAATGTTAAGTATATTTACACGACAGATACGCGCCAGGGCATCCATGTTCAGAGCGTTACTCATTGCATGGAAGCCTCAGTTTTAGTATAGCCAAGGGCTAATTTTCGTCATAGGCATGTTACCCCGACACGAATATATGCATTCAGGATCACTCCATCGCGTCTTGAGAGGGCTACTAATAGAAATTATTTGAATGCAGAGAAAATTAAGCTTTTGTACCCTTGTTGCTACTAATTGTTTATTTAATAGTTTAGTCTATATTTTGGCGCACTGGCCATAAAATTCGATTTACAATAACTTATGTTAAATACAAAAATTGGCCTTAAAGTTAGTGCATTTAGTGAGGAGGCAGCAGCGTAAATTAAACGATTTAATCCTTCCGTGGATGATTGAGTGGAGGGGAAGCGGAAAAAAGCAGAAGCATTGTGATGTAGGTGCCCCATCCCTCAAAGGAGCACCAAAGTAGTATAAAATACATAACTTATGTAATTACAAAAGAGTTAATATTAGGGTCACAAAGTTTGCATAAATGAGAGAGAGTGTATAAATTTGAACATTATGAGCGATTTTTGCATTTGAATAAAGAACAGTTTAACTATATGCGATTAAGAATTTACAAAATGTTAAATTAAGAGTTTATGTAAGAGTGAATTTAAATAAGAATTGTGTAAAAGCTTAAATTTTTACTTTAATTTTAGGATCGACGAGTAAGCAGGACCAGGATTAGAAGCGGAAACAGAAGCTCCAACGGTTGTAGTAGCCGATTATCGGGTGCCCGGCTCAACCAAGGACAGAGCCGCCTTGTGTGGGCCGAGGAATCCGAGCCGTGAGGCGTTAATTTGTTTAGCGCCATGCGGATTAAATTCCGGATGCGATGGGAAAACGTGTAAGTTGCCGAAGCCAGAGTAATGGCCATAGCTGACCCAGGTGAGTTTAATTGCATGATGATGAGTAGGCATAAAGGATGGCTGCATGGATTTATTTTGCTCCGCTATGGATACTCCAAGTGTGGTGTCAGGTCCAGAGAGCAGGGCTCCATCAACGGGACCACGTCAGGTGGCGCAAGAATTTCCCAAGCGTGATGAAGGCAAGGAGGGTTGAGATTTTAATTTATTATTAAATTGTATGAGATGCGAAAAGTTATATTTATTTGAATTAGCATAATATTGTTTGATGGAGTTTGATGAATGTATTTATTAGAGTAATGAAATATTTATGTAATGTGAAGTGTAATTTATGAAGTTATTTTATTTGAGTATTAATTTATGAGTTATTTTATTGTGATGTGACGTGGATATGTAATGAAGCTATTATAATTAAGTATTAATTTGTGAATTTATGAGTTATTTTATTATGATGTGACGTGGGTATGTTGAGAACTGCTTATGTAGCTGGTTTACCATTTTTATGATGTTTTATGATAATGTTTTATTTAATTTTTTCAGCTCCATATAATGTTGGTTCCAGACACTGAGGAGATGCAGCAAAAGCGAAGCCAGAAAGTTGCCGAGATGGACCTCGAAGAGGAAACGGGAAAACCAGAACTCCAGGCAGAGGCTCCAGTTGAAACGATATTTGGCTTGTAGGCGAGGCGGAGATTTGACGAAAGTTTTTATATATTTATTTATTAAAGTAAATTTGAATATTTGTTATTATTTTAATTTAGTGAATTAATTGATTTGTATTGTTAGTTTGAATGGAATGCGAAAAGTTATTATTATTTGAATTGGCGTAAATATTGTTTGATAAAATGGAATTTAAAGAATATGTATATTTGTTAAATGTTTATGAAGTGTAAATGTAGTTTATTAATGTGATTTGATGAAGCTGCAGTTTAAGAATGATAATTTATGAGTTTACGAATTATTTATTTTGATGTGACATGAATATGTTTAGACTGTTGATGTGTGTGTAAATTAACAGTTTGTATATAGTAATTAGTAAAATACCAAATTGGTACTTGTAAAGTTTTATATTAATACTTTATTTATTTATTTATGTTTCAGCGCCATATAACGTTGACACTGAAGAAGGGCAACAGGTTTGGCGAAGTTTTGCTTCAGAGAGATGGATGCAGGTTCCAGGTACCAATGGGAGAGGCGTCGGCTGCAGTCACGACCTATGGCAGAAAAGATGGCAGCATGGATTTCTTTGCTCCGCTATGGATACTCCAGGTGTGGTGTCAGATCCAGAGAGCAAGGCTCCATCAACAGGACCGCATCAGGTGGCCCAAGAGTTTCCCAAGCGTGACGAAGGCAAGGAGGGTTAAAATTTTAATTTATTAGTTGATTTATATTGTTAATTTGTATGGAATGCGAGAAGTTATTATTATTTGAATTAGCGTAATATTGTATGAAAAATTGGAATTTGATGAATATGTGTATTTATTAGAGTAGTTAAATGTTTATATAGTGTAAAATGTAATTTAATGAAGCTATTATTTCTGAGTATTAATTTGTGAATTTATGAATTATTTTATTGTGATATGGCGTGGATATGTAATGAGGCTATTATATTTAGATATTAATTTGTGAATTTATGAATTATTTTATTGTGATTTTATTGTGATGTGTCGTGAGTATGTTAAAGTACTTCTTATGTAGTTTGTTTACCATTTATATGTAGTTTTATGATAATATTTTATTTAATTTTTCCAGCTCCATATAATGATGGATCCGGATACTGAAGAGATGCAGCATACAAAACATGAGCAAAGCCAGAAAGTTGCCGAGATGGACCTCGAAGAGGAGACGGGAAAACCAGAACTCCAGGCAGAGGCTCCAGTTGAAACGATGTTTGGCTTGTAGGCGAGGCGGAGATTTGACGAAAGTTTTTATATATTTATTTATTAAAGTAAATTTGAATATTTGTTATTATTTTAATTTAGTGAATTAATTGATTTGTATTGTTAGTTTGAATGGAATGCGAAAAGTTATTATTATTTGAATTGGCGTAAATATTGTTTGATAAAATGGAATTTAAAGAATATGTATATTTGTTAAATGTTTATGAAGTGTAAATGTAGTTTATTAATGTGATTTGATGAAGCTGCAGTTTAAGAATGATAATTTATGAGTTTACGAATTATTTATTTTGATGTGACATGAATATGTTTAGACTGTTGATGTGTGTGTAAATTAAGAGTTTGTATATAGTAATTAGTAAAATACCAAATTGGTACTTGTAAAGTTTTATATTAATACTTTATTTATTTATTTATGTTTCAGCGCCATATAACGTTGACACTGAAGAAGGGCAACAGGTTTGGCGAAGTTTTGCTTCAGAGAGATGGATGCAGGTTCCAGGTACCAATGGGAGAGGCGTCGGCTGCAGTCACGACCTATGGCAGAAAAGATGGCAGCATGGATTTCTTTGCTCCGCTATGGATACTCCAGGTGTGGTGTCAGATCCAGAGAGCAAGGCTCCATCAACAGGACCGCATCAGGTGGCCCAAGAGTTTCCCAAGCGTGACGAAGGCAAGGAGGGTTAAAATTTTAATTTATTAGTTGATTTATATTGTTAATTTGTATGGTATGCGAGAAGTTATTATTATTTGAATTAGCGTAATATTGTATGAAAAATTGGAATTTGATGAATATGTGTATTTATTAGAGTAGTTAAATGTTTATATAGTGTAAAATGTAATTTAATAAAGCTATTATTTCTGAGTATTAATTTGTGAATTTATGAATTATTTTATTGTGATATGACGTGGATATGTAATGAGGCTATTATATGTAGATATTAATTTGTGAATTTATGAATTATTTTATTGTGATTTTATTGTGATGTGTCGTGAGTATGTTAAAGGACTTCTTATGTAGTTTGTTTACCATTTATATGTAGTTTTATGATAATATTTTATTTAATTTTTCCAGCTCCATATAATGATGGATCCGGATACTGAGGAGATGCAGCATACAAGACATGAGCAAAGCCAGAAAGTTGCCGAGATGGACCTCGAAGAAGAGACCAGAAAAACCAGTACTCCGGGCAAAGGCTCCAGATGAGACGATATTTGGGTTGTGGACGAGGCGAAGATTTGGCAAGGAGAAGATGGCGGCATATTTTCTTTGCTCCGTTAAGGATACTCCAGGTGTGGTGTCGGGTCCAGAGAGCAAGGCTCCATCAACGGGACCGCATCAGGTGGCCCAAGAATTTCCCAAGCGTGATGAAAGCAAGGAGGGTTAAGATTTTAATTTATTAGTTGATTTGTATTGTTAATTTGTATGGAATGCGAGAAGTTTTTATTATTTGAATTAGCGTAATATTGTATGATAAATTGGAATTTGATGAATATGTGTATTTATTAGAGTAGTTAAATATTTATATAATGTAAAATGTAATTTAATGAGGCTATTATTTCTGAATATTAATTTGTGAATTTATGAGTTATTTTATTGTGATGTGAAGTGGGTATGTAATGAAGCTATTATATTTGAATATCAATCTGTGAATTTATGAGTTATTTTATTGTGATTTTATTGTGATGTGACGTGGGTATGTAATGTAGCTATTATATTTAAATATTAATTTGTGAATTTATGAGTTATTTCATTGTGATGTGACGTGGGTATGTTAAAGGACTGCTTATGTGGTTTGTTTACCATTTATATGAAGTTTTATGATAATATCTTATTTAATTTTTCCAGCTCCATATAATGATGGTTCCGGGCACTGAGGATATGCAGCATACAAAGCATGAGCAAAGCCGGAAAGTTGCCGAGATGGACCTCGAAGAAGAGACGAGAAAACCAGAAATCCGGGCAGAGGCTCCAGATGAGACGATGTTTGGGTTGTGAACGAGGCGGAGATTTGGCAAGGAGAAGATGGCGGCATATTTTCTTCGCTCATACTGATTGCTCCGTTATGGATACTCCAGGTGTGGTGTCGGGTCCAGAGAGCAAGGCTCCATCCACAGGACCGCATCAGGTGGCCCAAGAATTTCCCAAGCGTGATGAAAGCAAGGAGGGTTAAGATTTTAATTTATTAGTTGATTTGTATTGTTAATTTGTATGGAATGCGAGAAGTTATTATTATTTGAATTAGCGTAATATTGTATGATAAATTGGAATTTGATGAATATGTGTGTTTATTAGAGTAGTTAAATGTTTATATAATGTAAAATGTAATTTAGTGAGGCTATTATTTCTGAATATTAATTTGTGAATTTATGAATTATTTTATTGTGATATGACGTGGGTATGTAATGAGGCTATTATATTTAGATATTAATTTGTGAATTTATGAATTATTTTATTGTGATTTTATTGTGATGTGTCGTGAGTATGTTAAAGGACTTCTTATGTAGTTTGTTTACCATTTATATGTAGTTTTATGATAATATTTTATTTAATTTTTCCAGCTCCATATAATGATGGATCCGGTCACTGAGGAGATGCAGCATACAAAACCTGAGCAAAGCCAGAAAGTTGCCGAGATGGACCTCGAAGAAGAGACGAGAAAACCAGTACTCCGGGCAGAGGCTCCAGATGAGACGATGTTTGGGTTGTGAACGAGGCGGAGATTTGGCAAGGAGAAGATGGCGGCATATTTTCTTCGCTCATACTGATTGCTCCGTTATGGATACTCCAGGTGTGGTGTCGGGTCCAGAGAGCAAGGCTCCATCAACAGGACCGCATCAGGTGGCCCAAGAATTTCCCAAGCGTGATGAAAGCAAGGAGGGTTAAGATTTTAATTATTAGTTGATTTGTATTGTTAATTTGTATGGAATGCGAAAAGTTATTATTGTTTGAATTAGCGTAATGTTGTATGAAATTTGATGAATATGTGTATTTGTTGGAGTAGTTAAATTATGAAATGTGGATGTAGTTTAATAATATGTTTTGATGAGGCTGCTGTATTAGAATAATAATTTGTGAGTTTATTAATTATTTATTTTGATGTGACGTGAATATGTTTGAACTGTTAATATGTGTGTAAGTTAAAAATTTGTGTAATGTAATTTATGAAATAACAAATTGTTACTTATAGAGTTTGATATAGATAATTTATTTATTTATGTTTCAGCGCCATACAACGTTGGCTTCAGACACTGAGGAATGAACAGCATAGAGGACGTGAGCAGGGCAATAAAGTTTCCAAGATGAACCTCGAAGTAGAGACGAGCAAACCAGAACTCCAGGCAGAAGCTCCAGATGAAACGATGTTTGGCTTGTAGGCATGGCGGAGATTTTGAAGAGCTTAAGTATTTGTTATTGTTTGAATTAAGTGAATTTTAAGGTAGTTGTTATATACTGTAACTTAATAATTTATTTGTTGTAGGTTATAGTTAGTTATAGGCATGATTATTTAAATTTGTACCGATTTTATGTATTTATATTTCGTTTGTTACTAGTTGCATAGTATATGGATGCACATTCCAAATGCCAGGAGAGAAAGCGTTGGCTGCAGGTTACGAATCTCCGGCAAAATAGCTGACAGCATGATTTTCTTTGTTCCTCCGCTGTGGATATCCAGAATGTGGTGACCAAATCTTATCCCACTTCAAACGCTCTAACGGAGATTTGTATTAATGCTGCATTTGTTTATTGTTTCAGCACGGCTGAATGTAAATTCCGGATACCAAGAAGTGAGGAAATATTGGGTGAAGGTACTTGAGTTGCAATCCAGAAAATTTTCGAAATCAATTTCGATGCTTCATGCGATTCGCAGAATGGACAAGTAATCGGTTTCGTGGATCAATGCTCCGCCACAAAAGCAGCATCAAATGGCCCAGAATTTTCCAGGCATGATGAGGATAAGAAGAATTGCAGATTCCGGGTAAAATTTATTGTTTAATACTTTTACGTAGCGTTTGAGTAGTTAATTTTATTCAATGTGGAATTTGTGTAATTTTGTTATTGAGATAAGTATAATTATATTTGTTTACTTTAAAACGGCCTTAATAGGTACCGTCGTTCGCCTTTAGAGAAAAAATAGAATTATAGAAGAGGTAGAGAAGAAAATAAGTAGAAAGCCCGAAATGGTTTAACAGAAAGGAAAAGGAAAAAAGTTAACTTCTGCATGGAACCGACCAAAGCGCGCTCCAAAAATCGCTGTATAGATACAGCAAAAGGAGCACAGGTCAGCCAGACCCATACACATCCGGGCAGGACGCGAAGGGACCCAGCATCCAACTGTATTTATAGGAGTGAAAAACTTCTATACACGGATCTAGGCCCCTTCCACGGGGAAAAAACCACCCCCCTCCTCCCAAAACCCATCCGCGAAAAATTTTCGCAAAGTGGGTTCGGGTCAAGCCCGCCGTGCCCGCATGACGTGCACAGTCGTCACACAGGCCAAGCAGCAATAGGAAAGGCGGTAGTTCAAAAGTTGAGAAAAGTAGCACAAAACGATAGTCGATGCAGGGAAAACCCAATAGTAAAGATTAGAGAGCATTAGGAGGAGGGGCTCTATCCGGAAAGTCGTTTGGCCGATATCGAACGTGTGGGCCACCCCTTGAAAATTGCCTTAGAAGGTCACGAACAAGAATGTTCTGGTGATTAGTGGTTTTTGCGTTGTATCTGCTCGAGTGAAGATTTATTTCGTCCCACACAGACGAGAAATTGAAGGCTTGATGAATATCAAAGTTTCGGACAAAGGGAATTGAGCCAGTACAGAGGCGCAAGGTTTTATTTTGGATAATCTGGATGGCTCGGATATGGACATCTGCCGCACATCCCCACAATTCTATGCCGTATTTCCAAGTTGGCGCTATGATTTGTTTATAAATCAAAAGTTTATTTTTAGTACTTAACCGGGACTGGGGATTTATGAGCCAGTTATATTTTTGAAGTTTGCCCAAAAGAGACTTTTT